GTCTACTTCAGATAGTCTATCGTGTATGATTTGGCAATTGAGTTGCATGTTAAGACGTTGCGAAAGTTAATCAGAGACGAAAATGCTCAGTATGGCTCAGGACATGCGGCGGGAAGGCAGTACTTGTGGAGGACTTACCAAGATAGTAAGGACGCTATTATGTTTTGCTAGCGCAAGATAACAGATGAGATAATAGTTTACTGCAGGGCACATCAGCGACTGATGGCGGGTGTTCAGGTGATTTAAGTCAGCGGCAGATGGTCCCGGAAAGCTAATCTCTGCTCTCCGTGACAGTGTGTTAGGAACTGACAGGGAGTAGAGGTGCAGTGTAAACACTGCAGCCGTGCTCTCTGTCAGTGAGTGCCGCTAATCGCCGGGAGCCGGCGGGTAAAAGCCCAGGACCCGATGGATATACTGTGAGATACTATAAAAAAATACAAAGATCAATTGATACCCAAACTGAGGTTGTATATGAATGCACTGGGAGGTAAGATGGAAATGAGGGAGGAGTCCTTACAAGCTCATGTGGTAATTATAAAGAAAGAGGGAAAGGATGAGACTCAGTGCTCTAGTTATAGACCAATATCCCTATTGAACATTGACAGAAAACTATATGCAAAAGTTCTGGCAAACAGGATAAAAGATCTAATGCCGGAATGGATTCATATAGATCAGGTGGGTTTTGTCCCGGGAAGGGAAGGGAAGGTAGAGATAATGGATTAAGATCTTTGCTTCTGATACAAAAAAGTAAGAAAGAAAAAGTTCCTGTTTTGCTATTGTCGGTGGATACGGAAAAGGCTTTTGACAGATTAGATTGGAGATATATGCTAGATACGCTGGAAGTTTTGGGATTAGGCCATAGAATGAGAGAATGGATAGGGAAACTATATAGTCAACCCTCTGCAGCAATAAAGGTTAATGGAGAGCTATATGAGTACTTTGAGATGCAGAATGGGACACGACAGGGTTGACCACTGTCCCGTTGTTATTTGTCCTTTCCCTGGAATCTCTCCCATCAATAATAAAGAAAAACATAGATATAAAAGGAATTTTGATAGGGAAGACGGAACATAAAGTAGCAGCATATGCAGATGATATGCTGTTTTATGTGGTTAACCCTAGAATAACATTGCCTAACCTAATGAAAACACTAACAGAATATGGAGAGATGTCAAATTTAAAAATGAATTCAGCTAAACTGAGATTTTAAATAAAAACCTTTTAAGTAAAGAGAAAAAATTTTTACAAAAAGAATTTCTCTTTGCTTGGAAGGAAAGAGAAATAAAACATTTGGGAATAAATCTAACCGTATCCTCAAAGAATTTATACAGAGCAAACTACATCCCCTTATTAAATGAGATCAAGGATGGTTTATCATGGATGGGGCGAATAAATTTGATAAAAATGGTAATTGCTCCAAAAATTTTGTGTAAATTTCATATGATACCTGTCACGATCGTGGCATCAGACCCCAGCCCTTCTCACCAAACTCGTGACTGAAGGACTAGCCGATCTAAAACCGCGATGTCACGTGCGTAACAATGCCACACTCAGCTGCACCCTGCACAATGATTTTCCAGCTAATTGGACCACAATCCATGTACCGGCACCCTGAGCGATTGTTACTGGGTCAGGTTAATTACGCAAATAATCCTTCACACTGCCACCACCTCCTTTTTGTACAGAGAAAGAGGAAACTCGGCAATATCAGCTAAAACACCATAATGGTTGAGATAATCATCTGCATAATACAGTCACCGCAGGCCGATTATGCAGAGGGTTAAACAAACACAGTAGCGTTCTCTTTAGAGGCAGGAATTCGTAAATTGCAATAAAGCGCTATAGAAACAGTTCAACACTTTCAGAAGGAAAGATTTATTACTAAAAGGTAAAACATTGTGCAATAAAAATATTTACAGGAAAAGATGGAACTAAGATATATATATATAAATATACAGAGAACAGCACAGCAAAGAGATAACAGGGAGAGGTTAAAGGGTTAAAGTACTTGCCAAAGTCCTGGGTTAGCAGATCAAGTTTCAGAGCAAAAGGGCACGGGTCTCCCCAGGTGGTATTGATGTTAAAATGGGAGATGTCTTCAACTTCTCTTCTTAGGCCTGACAGACTAATTTGTAGTTCCCCAGCAGGGGGTGTCTCTGAAGTCAAGGACCAATACCCTGTTTAGGGCGTGGAGGTCTGGGCGTGGAACTAAACTAGAGCCAAAATCTCATTTTAGTTCATATTTTGGCTCATAACTTTTCCTATGCACAAGTGACATTCCACCTGCGGGTAGATTATTATGTAGACATGTCTGAGGATTGATTAGATATTAATTATGAAATTATACACTGAACGGTTCACAAGATCTATTTTTTGGCTTTCCTATGTATTCGAGACAAGGCCAGTGACCTATCAAATTGTTCGTCTTCTCTTAGCCAATCTGACGATATGTCTGGTGTTTATGTAAGTCTCTCATATTCCAAGATATGAAACATAGGGTAAAAATGGATTTTTAAAAGTGTTAGTTGGTCTCGCCTTCCTTGGAATGTCTTGAACTCTGGGGAAAGCTTGCCTTATCTTATATGAGGTGTTACATTTTACAGGTTCTTCAGACAGCTAGGCCCCAGCTCCCTTGGGGACTGTATAGCTTTGAACCCTCACTGGTCTCTGGCCTCCTGTGACACTCCTAACACACATACACACTGGCCAAATATCGCTGTGACTCTTAGAAAGGGAGGGGTGTTGGGGCGGAGCCTAACTATGGCGGCGGTGGAGAGCTCGCAGTAGGAGCTCCCGCCTGGAGCCCCTCCGACCGATCCCCCTTTGACCCACAAAATCTCCCTGAAGGAAGCCAGAGACCTACCTCGGCCTGGCGGGTTCCTTCAGCCGAGTGGCGGCCCGCGGGAGGAAGAGCCGGGTAACGGGGGGACCAGCAGAGAGCGGCGGGGAAGCTGATTGTCGTTGCCAGGAAACAGGGAGGCGCGGCCGTGACATGTGACCGACCGCAGTGCATCCCTGGGAGGAGAGGAAGCCGGCCGGCCGGCCGGCTGCATACGGAAAGCCATCGTTGGAGCCCTGTGGGGGTGAACTGAGAAGAACTCCCTTCCAAACAAGGAAGGTGGGGGAAAGTTCTGGAGGGTCCCCCTGGGAGCAAGAGAGCCAATCCACCAGAGGAGCTGGAGAAATGGAGACATCCCATGAGAGGCGCAGGGAGGGTGAGTGACTCCGGCTGTGGCCTCAAAATAAAAAAAAAAAAACTGTGATGATATGGGAGAGAAACTGTGTTACTGTGTTAAGCTGAAGGAAGGTAGAGATTGAGAGAAAAGAGGGGACCCCCAGGGAATATAAAGAAGGAGAAGAATATAAGGTGCTGGCAAAGAAACACACAGAAAAGTTAACAGATAGGGCTGGGATCTCCAGTCCTATATCACATAGATTTTTCCTTTTTTTTTTTTGTGTTCTTCTTCTTCTGTGTGAAATACTAGTTTATGAGTGAAAAATAAAAGAACCAGAAGAAATGAAGAACAAAAGTGCAAAAGGAGGAACTGGCCCTAAAGGGACCCAAACGGGTACAATTAAAAAGTACACATCCCAGGGAAACGGGACCCCGGAAAGGCCCCAGAGCAGAAATGACAAAGGAGAATCAAAATTAAGTATGCAAAGTAGCCCCAAGCAATTAATGGATCTGGACAGCAGTAATCAACAAATATCAGAGATAGAAAAAGATTTACAAATCCCAAATAAAAAAGAGATGACAGAAATGTTTAAAGAACTGGAGAGAACAATAAAGCAAGAAATGGTAAATATTCGGAGTGATCTGGGGCAGTTGTTGTTAAGAGTGGAGGAAATGGAGCAGAAAGTTAAAAATCAGACCCAGATCATATCCGAATTAGAAAAGAAGATAACTAACATGGAAAAAGTTCAGGAAAAATTGCAGTACAAGGCGGAAATTCAAGAGAATAGAGAAAGAAGGAGAAATATAAGGATAAGAGGGGTACCGGAAAGCCTAAAAGGAGAACTAATGGAAGAGGCGGTTGGCAAATTACTGAACTTTATAACGGGAAACTCTGATATGGAAAGGATTAATATAGAAGGAATCTCCAGAAATGGGAAAATCCAGGGGAACCAGGAGAAGGATAGGCTGAGAGACATATTTGTTAAATTTTATGATCTGCAGCAAAGGGAAAGAATTTGGAGGAAAATTAAAGGAAAATCAGTAATAAATTACAGAAAAATGGACATTCAAATATACGCGGACTTGTCATCGGAGACTCTCTGGAGGAGGAGAGCTCTGAGGCCTTTGCTGGAGCAGATGAGAAAACAGAAGGTGCAATATAGATGGGGGGTACCGGAGTGTTTAATAGGATGGAAAAACGGAACAACAGCCCATTTGAGGTTCCCAGAGGACTTGAGAAATTTTTGTGATAGACTGGAAATGCAGAGAATTGAAACTAATGAATGGAAAGAAGAACCTGGGGGAAATAGATTAAGGAGAGGGGAGGGGCGGAGACTGGTGGAGGGGGGGGAGGTGGGGGGGAGAGGGAGTGGAGGGGAGAGAAGGTTTTTTTTTTTTTCTTCTCTCTGCCCCTCCTTATCCCTAATCTGCCTTATGTTTCCTCCTTCACTCCTCTAGCTTAGCTCCATCTCTCCAGCTCCATCTCTTCTCCTTTTTGTTAAGAAGTACAAGTAGAAAGGGGTCAAAGGGGAGAACTGGACGGAGGGGAGGCTAGCCATGGGAGGAGTGTAGCCCTAAGGACTAAATCAAAGGTGGATGTTAGTTCCACAAATGATGAATAGGCAAAGTGAAGGCCTAAAAGGAGGGGGAGGGGAGGGGGAGGGGAGGGATGGTGGTGAGGTTGGGGGGGGGGGATAAGGGGAGGGGGGGGGGAGAGAAAAGGTTAGTGGGATAAATACGGTCTACAGGTATAAGAAAGAGGAAAGTAAGGAGGAAAAGGAGTCAGGAGGAAAAGAGTAGGATGGAAGAAATCCAATATATAACCTACAATGTAAAAGGGCTAAATTGTCCAGGAAAGAGATTTAGGTTATTTAAAGAACTACAACATAGAAAATCCTCAGTGATATTTCTGCAAGAAACACACTTAGAGATAGAGTCGAAGGTTAGACTGAGAACCAGATACTTTCCGACATGGTTTTATGCGGATTCACCAATTAAAAGAGCAAAAGGAGTTGCTATAGGGTTTGCTAAAAATATAAGGTTTGAGGTTGAGGAGAGATTGATGGACCCGGAGGGAAGGTTCCTATTTTTGAGAGGTAAATTACAGGGAATTGAGTGCACAATAGCGAATATATATATCCATTTGGTCCATATAGTCCCCTGTAAGAAGCCAGAGACATTTGTGAGAGAAGTGTTGAAGAGACTGATGGACTTTAAAAAAGGGTGTATGTGTCAGGGCAGGAGTCGAGGAACAGACAGGCAGGCCTAACCTAACAATGTAACGCACTGGCTGACGACAACCACCACCCACAGACCGAAGTCCCTCAGGGTGCGGGAGTCTATGTCCCAGGCTGCCCTTCACCAGGGCCCCTGATGGTGGGGATGGACTTGACGCAGCCAGGAACCAGGTCGCGGCCCCCGAGACACCTATCAGCTGCGGTAATGGCCGCCGCCAATGGTGTGTAGCTGGTGGAAGAGAGACAAAAGAGTAGTCAGACAGGCCGGGGTCAACAACAGCAGGACAAAACAGTACAGGACAGCAGACGAGAATCACAGGTCACGAGCCGGGTTCAGCAACAGAGGGTCAGATCAAAGGAGAATACAAAGAATAGTCAAGTCACAAGCCGAAAATCAGATACCAGGAGAGTCACGAGAGAGTCAGAACAGAGTAATAGCAACACAAAGACACAGGACACAAGTGCAAAGAGCATGTGCGGGCCACCGGCTTATATGTCATCAGCCACGCCCCTCTGGGGGATGGATCTCAGAGACCTGAAGGCATAAAAGGATTCCCACCATGCACAGCAGAATCTAAGATGGACGCCAGCACATGGAGTACATAAACCTCAGGGAAAAGGTAGGACCTTGACAGTACCTCCTCCTCAAGGGCCCCTTCCCCTCGCGGGCTCAACAAAAGGTTTCTGAGGAAAGCGGGTATGAAAAGCGCGGAGGAGGGCAGGAGCATGGACATCCGCGGGGAAGGAACCCAGGAACGCTCCTCAGGACCATAACCGCGCCAATGAACCAGGAACTGTAATCGACCGCGCACCAATCGAGAGTCCAGGATCTGGCTCACCTCATACTCCTCATGACCGTCAACCCGGACAGGACGGGGGCCGAGGCAGAGAGAGAGTAGTGAAGCGATTGCAGGGGATCAGAGGTTTCAACAGGGAAACATGAAAGATATTGGAGATCCGCATCCCAGACGGAAGGGCAAGGGCATAGGCCACCGGATTCACTTTGCGGAGAATGCGGAAAGGGACCGACAAAACGGGGAGAGCTAGTTTGGGTGTGGGCACCCGAAGATTGAGGTTGCGAGTAGACAACCACACCCGATCGCCGACCTGGTATGAAGGAGCGGGCAAACCGTCTGCGATCAGCCTGGAACTTCTGGCGCTGAGCTGAGTCCCTCAAGGCCCTCTGGATCTGCCCCCATGAAGAACGCAGGGCAGCAAGATGGTTCTCCACAGCCGGAATGTCATGTGGTGAGAACCTCTCAGGTAATACCGCGGGTTGGAACCCATAGTTGGCCATGGAAGGGAGACATTCCGGAGGAGGAGTTGACTGCCGAGATTCCTGGCAAACTCTGCCCAAGGCAGGAGATCAGCCCAATCGTCCTGATGGTCTGAAATATAACACTGAAGGAATTGTTCTAAGGCCTGATTGGAACGCTCCGCAGCCCCATTGGACTGCGGGTGGGTAGGCTGAGGAAAAGGAGAGACTAATACCCAACTGGGGAGCAGAAGGCGCGCCAGAATCTGGACACGAACTGACTCCCGCGGTCCGAGACAATCACCTTAGGCAACCCATGCAGGCGAAAAATCTCCCTGGAAAAGACCGTGGCCCAGTTCTTGCGCTGTTGGTAATTTCCTGAGTGGAATGCAATGGCACATCTTGGGAACAAATCGACGACGATCATGAGGATGACCGTATGACCCCCGAGACACCGGTTCAGAGGTCTACAATAAAGTCCATACCTAGGTGTGTCCAAGGACGTCGCTCCCATTGGGAATGGGTTGCAGAAGACCCAAAGGGAGATGCCGTGGACACTTATTCTGGGCACAGATCGAACATGCCGCTACATAAGAGGCAATGTCGGCACGGAGGGTTGGCCACCAGAATAAGCGAGAGACGACCCAACATAGCTGGTTCTTCCCCGGATGCCCGGCAGTTTTGGCGTTATGGTAGGTACGCAGCAGGCGGGTGCGCAATCCCTTGGGTACAAAACATCTACCCTCCGGGCTTCCCGGGAGGAGCATCAGATTGAGCCGCCAAAATCTGCTCCCCAAGAGGAGAGGTCAGACTGGTGCGAATGGCAGCCAGGATCTGATTTGGAGGAATAACTGAGATTGGCTCAGAGTCTTCCCTGGACAACTCAGGAGTATTGCCGTGATAACGCATCAGCCCTGACAGACATTCTTGGAACCAGGCAAATATGAAACCACATTAGTTGAAGCGTGACAAGAACAGAGCCCATCTGACCTGGCGGGATGTCAATCTTTTGGCCTCCGAAAGATAAGTCAGGTTCTTATGATCGGTAAGAATGAGGACCGGAACTGCGGAGTGCCCTCGAGCAGGTGCCTCCATTCCTTGAGAGCCAGAATGATTGCCAACAACTCCCTATCTCCAATCTGGTAGTTGCACTCTGCAGAGGAAAGCTTCCTGGAGTAGAACCCACAGGGAAGTAGGGGTCCATCGGGCGACCGACGATGAGACAGGGAGAGCGTCTACTCCCGTCTCGGATGCATCAACCTCAAGGACGAAGGGCAATCCAGGATTGGGATGAGACAGTATCGGAGCCGACGCGAAGGCAGATTTCAGAGCCTGGAAAGCTACGATGGCCTCGGATGGCCACTCGTGAGGATTACTGCCCTTCTTGGTTAGGTCTGTCTGAGAGAGGCTTTGCCAGCGTGGAGAAGTTCCTGATGAACTTCCGATAGTAGTTGGCAAAAACCAAAAAGCGCTGAATGGGGCCGAAGACCATTGGGACGAGGCCACTGCAGAACCGCTGAAACCTTCTGAGGGCCCATGGAGGAATCCCACCGCAGAAATGATGTAGCCTAAAAAGGCAACTTGGGATCGATGGAATTCGCACTTCTCAAGTTTTACAAAAAAGTTCGTTCTCATGTAATCGTTGCAGCACCTGCTTGACATCCTGGATATGGGACTCCATGGAGGCAGAGTAAACCAGGATGTCATCCAAGTAAACTACCACGCACTGCTGCAACAAGTCACGAAGGACATCATTTATGAATTCCTGAAAAACTGCGGGCGCGTTACACAACCCGAAGGGCATCACCAGGTATTCGTAGTGAGTGACCGGTTCTGGTGTTAAACGCGGGTCTTCCACTCATCATCCCCCTGTTTGATCCGTACGAGGTTGTACGCCGCCCTAAGGTCAAGTTTGGTAAAGAGACTGTTGCCCCCTTAAGGGCGGTCGAACAACTCAGTAATCAAAGGGAATCGGGTAGGCATTCTTAGTGGTGATTCGATTAAGACCCCTATAATCAATGCAAGGCCTCAATTCACCACCCTTCTTCTTTACAAAGAAAAAGCCCGCTCCTGCTGGGGAAGTAGACTTACGAATGTGCCCCCCCCCGGGAAAGCGCATCCGCAACGTACTCCTCCATGGCCTTATTCTCCGCAACCGAGAGAGGATACACACCCTGCCACGCGGAGGAGTGGCACCAGGTTGCAAGGATATGGCGCAGTCGTAAGGACGATGAGCAGGGTAAGGCACCAGCGCGTACCTTATCAAACACGTCCTGGTACTCCCCATAATCAGTGGGCAACGCAGAGTTCGAGGAGGCACACAACACCTTAACCGGCCCACGGATGCACCCGGCCCCACACTATGGAGACCACGAGAGAATCTCGGCTGTTTGCCAATTGAAGGTTGGATTGTGCATCTGGAGCCAGGGATACCCCAAAACCACCGAATAGTGCGGAGAAGAAATCACCTGGAAACAGGCCAACGCCCTGTGAAACAGCCCCAATAGCTACTTCAACTGGCATAGTCTCGTGGGTAACCTGCTGTGGTTGCAGGGGCCTGCCATCTATCGCCTCGAGAACCAATGGGGTAACTCGAGCCTGCAGGGGAATGGAGTGCTGGGCAGCAAACGAGCTGTCCATAAACAACCCGCCGGCCCCAGAATCTACCAACGCCTGGGCCGTCACCGAGCCCTCCGCCCAGAGAGAGGACAACGTTGATCAGTGGCTTATCTCTGCGGAACGCCGGGGACGAGGAGACTCCACCCAAGATCTGTCCCCGACAGGATCTCAGGTGCGAGCATTTCCCAGACGGACCGGACAGGACTGCCGAAAGTGCCCACCAAGACCACAGTACAGGCAGCGACCTCCCGACGCCGAGCGGCCCGCTCTCCCTCGGAAAGGCGAGCAAACCCCAGCTGCATGGGCTCACCACCAGACAATCCATCCCCAGGAGGCGTGGGAGGAGAGGAAGGAATGGGTGGGACAGAAAACACAGGTGCCAGTCGATTGGAAGGCCTCCGCAGGCGTTCCTTGAGTGAAGGCCTCTCCCTGAGCCTGGTGTCAATCAGGATCAGGAAAGAGATGAGCTCCCTCCAACACCACAGGCAGTTCCTTAGCTGCAAATCTCGTCCTTCAATGTGTCAGAAAGACCATGGGAAAAACGCAGCCACCAGAGCCTCATTGTTCCAACCGACCTCTGCCGCCAGGGTACAAAAACTCTATAGCGTACTCGGCCACGGTCCGTGAACCCTGATGCATGGTCATGAGCAGCTTGGCCGCCGAGGCGGAACGAGCCGGTACGTCGAATACCCTACTACGTAAGGCATCGACAAAACCGGAAAAAATCTTGAATCACCAGGTCGTTCCTCTCCCATAAGGGATTTGCCCAGGCCAAGGCCTTGTCTGAGAGTAGTAAAATTAGGAACCCAACCTTTGACCTCTCAGACGGGAAGGCGTGGGGTATTAATTCAAAATAAATACCCACCTGGTTGAGGAACCCACGACACTGACTCGGCTCACCCCCAAAAGCGCTGTGGAAGAGGGGCAGAACCAGTCATACCTCTGGGTGCCGCTGATGTAGCCGCCGAGGTGGTGGACGCAATAGGCGGAGAAAGCAGCGGGAGAGACCACCGGAAGTGACTACCGGCCTAATAGCACCAGGAGCAAGGTGTGCAGTGCGTGCAAGCAGAGTTTGCAACGCCTGAGCGAAACTGATCCAACAGGTGATCCTGTTGATCGAGTCTGGCGATA